TGTAATGTATATTTTCAGTTTTCACTAATGCCTTCGTTAGGGAAATCCACCACTCCCATTTGAAGGATTTCCATTAAAGCACGGAAGATAAACAGGACAATCTATCATGCGTTAAGTTTCATACTGCGGACTGACAGGTTAAACATGCTGTCGTTTAAATAGACTTGAGGAAATTGTAAATTTACATGTTGACAAGCGGAAGATAAATTACAGGTACACAAGATGTATAAGTCTAGTAAGAACGCTACTGTACAGTTTTATAGTGTATTTCCGATTCCAATTGCTCCAAAAATTAAAATGATATTATTTCATCTTAAAATTTCTATTTGACTATGTTTTCATCGCTTAGCAAACTCGAAATTTGGCATATGCATTTCATATGTTTCTTTCCTTGTTTTATACTATTTACCGGTATATAACTTGCCTTTCGTTTTTGTTATAACAATATGCATGACATGTAATATTTGTTATAACATGTGTTATTACAAAAAGTGAAAGGAAAGTTATATACCGGTGAGTATTATAAAACCAACTTCCATTAGAATAAACATAGGACAACAAACATGGGACTGCACCATTCAGATTTGGTAATAGATACTGCAAGCCAAAAAATAATTACACTGCATCATACAGCTTGTTTCGCCCTTCAAGAAATCATCGGTGATGCTAAGTCCGAACAAATGGAAACACAAATCGGTCCAACCTGCTGTTGAATCAGAAGGGGAGGTGTAAAAAACCCGTTTATCGCTCAATTAAATGAATGAAAAAAAAAAAATTTGCTTACTGATTAATTTCAAATAAATACATAAGTAGTATGTATATTAAAAGATGAACCTACAAAATACACATCGGATTGAACCTTTTAAATTTGGTAATAGATGGTAACAGCACGCAAAAAAATAATTACTTTGCACTATTCAGTAATTTGATATTCTAAATAGATTAATATTGAAATTTTATTTATTTTACAACAATAGCAAAAAGATTTCTCTCAACTTATATTAATCACTCTTGTTGACCCGGATGTTAGTGCACGGAGGGACTTACGTCCATCATACAGAAAAAAAACCTTTAAAACGTTACATGTGCAAACATACAACTTTGAGATACAAGGGATAAGGCCCAGAATATATTCCAGCTTCAACGCTACATCCAACCCAGGACTGATAGTCCACTAGCAGGGTCAAACTAACTTGTGAAATATTCACTGGATATACAAGGAAGAAAGCCGGAGTCATAAAACTCAAAATAAAAGGGATCTTGTTGAAGAGTTAACAGGATATCATTGCTATTCACCAACACATTAGTTTCATTTTCACTCAATATTTATGGTGTTGTGTTATGTATCAATCATTGACCGCGTTAGGCTTAAATTGGCGACCGAAGATTAATGGGAATTAAAGCTACATTTTGTAATTTTGTATCCCATGAAATTTAATTTATCTAAAGTACACTTGGGTGTGTTGTTTATTTTATATAGGATAAGGTCAACCTTGTGACATTATAACTTGGATTTTAGATCCGGTTCTCGGTTATGACGACAGCGTCGAAACCCACGACCTTAAATGAACAATTTTGTTGAGGAACCGGATTCACCTCCAAAAACACAGCACTAGTTTATTGTTAAAACGTGTATGTGGATTTTATGGGATGTTTTAGTGTTAGCGTTCGTTCGTGAAGATTGAATGAATATTTTGGTTATGTCAAAAACAAAATGTCAATCACGTTGTGGGATACCAGTACAGTACAGAGTTGTTCACGTGTGATGACAATATATCCTCTATAATAGTTGTTGAATATGTAATGCTTACTCTACGGATTGTGCCGTCTTAAAAACGCTTTTTGTTTTGTCATTTTTAACCCAAGTATATAACAATACAAATACATATCAGATGTTATAAGCAGAATTACTCTCACAAATTATCCTTCATCACAAATCTCTTTGTAGTCATCAACTGTAGTATGTCAATGTTTACCAACAGTTATTTGTAATATCAAACAGTTAAACAGTTGTAATACGTTTCTCCCTTTAATGACCTCTAAGTAAATTTTGAATAAAGATCCCCATAACAATACCAAAAAATGTCATTTAGTGTTGGAAATTGATTTTTTTTCCGACATGTCTATAGCTTCGATAAATAATTTCCGAAAAGAAATCCACACCTTACGGGACTCTTCTGAAAAAATATTAAAGGTGAAATAACTAAAATGCAATACATAACAGTTTCTGACAGTAAAAACATCAGCGGGCATGTACCGGGATCCGAACACTGAACCTCGGATTTTTAAACAGTCTCTATAATCGACTGATCTATCTGAAGAAAACGAGAATCATTTTATTCCAATTTGTAACTTTTATTCTGATATTTGAACAAAATATGTTAAGCCATATTTCTGACATCGCCCTTCTGTCGTCAAGCTTGTACAACTCCTGTCTGTACTAAGGAATGTAACACAAACGTTTGTGTTATTTCCGCTGCCAGACGTCGGCGACACTACTAGTTATATTGTATGCTATATTTATTAATTACACGTATTATGACTAGGAGGGATATTGTAACACATTGTTCATCCTCCTTTATCATGTATGTAATGCATTTACTATGTTTAACACACATATGTTATTGCTTGGTACATATATGTTATTGAATGGTACATGTATGTTATTGTATGGTACATATATGTTATTGAATGGTACATATACGTTTTGTATGGTACATATATATGTTATTGTATAGTACATATATGTTATTGTATGGTACATGTATGTTATTGTATGGTACATATATGTTATTGTATGGTACATATATGTTATTGTATGGTACATATATGTTATTGTATGGTACATATATGTTATTGTATGGTACATATATGTTATTGTATGGTACATATATGTTATTGTATGGTACATATATGTTATTGTATGGTACATATATGTTATTGTATGGTACATATATGTTATTGTATGGTACATATATGTTATTGTATGGTACATATATGTTATTGTATGGTACATATATGTTATTGTATGGTACATATATGTTATTGTATGGTACATATATGTTATTGTATGGTACATATATGTTATTGTATGGTACATATATGTTATTGTATGGTACATATATGTTATTGTATGGTACATATATGTTATTGTATGGTACATATATGTTATTGAATGGTACATATACGTTTTGTATGGTACATATATATGTTATTGTATAGTACATATATGTTATTGTATGGTACATGTATGTTATTGTATGGTACATATATGTTATTGTATGGTACATATATGTTATTGTATGGTACATATATGTTATTGTATGGTACATATATGTTATTGTATGGTACATATATGTTATTGTATGGTACATATATGTTATTGTATGGTACATATATGTTATTGTATGGTACATATATGTTATTGTATGATACTTATATGTTATTGTATGGTACATATATGTTATTGAATGGTACATATACGTTTTGTATGGTACATATGTTCTTGTATTGTACATATATGTTATTGTATGGTACATATACGTTATTGTATGGTACATATATGTTATTGTAGGGTACTTATATGTTATTGTATGGTACATATATGTTATTGTATGGTACATATATGTTATTGTATGGTAAAACGCACATAATGTGTACTGCTTTTGGAATAAACTGAAATGAACCTTGCCAACGGAAGTGTCCTAGTTCAAATGTGCTGCAGTTACATATTAAACAAAATTAAGGGGAAGTAACTGTGTATAACACCAGAGTTCAGTGTGACAGGGATCTTTAACATTAGCAAATGTATTTTTAGATTATATTTGCTATGCAATGGTTTGAAGTAACAGGAACGAAGTAAGAACATGTCCTACAAGGATAAGGGCAGGAAACTAGGACTAGAAGATGTGTTTACATATTGAGAATAGTAAAATCCCTTAGCTGTGTGCTAAAGTCCGGGCCAACAAGAGTGATTAATTTAAGTTGAAATAATTTGTTTCATAACTGTTGTAAAATAAATAAAGTGTATATAAGAACAGTAAGAATAACAAATGAGACTGGATACAAAGGACAGGGTATAGCGAGGAAAGAAATAGCCGAAATGAAATCCTGTGCAGATGTATCGACATGTTCAAGCTTACAACACCAATTTAAGAATCATTTGTTGCAGGAAAGGGAATGGTGACAACACTTACAAAGTCAATTACCTTATGATGAAAGATAACGTATTAAACATGTCACACAATAATTAATAAACGAAAATTATAAAAACAAAAACATTCACAATTCATTATCACTGATAATGGAAAAGAATAGCGAGACTATTTACATACTTGTACAAATGATGATAAACTATTTTGTTGTTAATAGCAAAAACATCCACAATACCATACACATGAAATAGGCAATGATGAAAGAGAATGGCGGACATATTTACAGTATTGTACAAAATTGGTGATAAAAGAGAACAAAAAGACCATTCATAATATCGTATAACTGATGATGAAATGGCTAATTGTCACTTACTCATTTTGATAAAGTGCTCTGTTTGACGGTGACCAACTACTTATTACAACGTCTATGTGATGCGCCGCTAAGGTATTTTCACAGAAGTAAGGTAAGCCTATGGGGGATTTGTGCGAACGTGATTGACAATATATATATCTCCTGTATTACGAGTTATGCACCTACTGTAAGCATAATATCAAAGGGGACACTTCTCCTTAGGTTACATCTCAAATACATGTTTCCGGATCCTATGTACATGGCTGTATCGGATCTTAGATAACGCGGAAAGGGTCTTCATGTACCTAAGCCGACACATGTAGAATTTGGTTTCCCCTTGGCTTCCGAGCAGAAATAAACAAAGCCAGCCAACCATCACTCAAGTAGTTAATCAAGTACTTCTGCGCATGCGTATAGGATATTTAAAGAATTGTTATAAAATAACTAGCCTCCGATTAAATAGCATCATGATTACATTTTACGTAAGCTTGTAGAATGGCAAGAGTAACGTTGATCAGTATGGTTTTGTCATCTCTCTTGATCATGATGTCAGCTTCATTGAATACTATAAACTCTACAGAGACATTCCAAGGTAGTGCCAAATTCCCGTTGGATATTGAAAGCAGTGCAAACTTCACCGAAGAAGAAATAACGTTCTTGGGTACTCAGCTTGGTGGGGATGTGTTGGAGAATCGTTTACCGCAAACGTGGTCAAACATATGCACTATTCAGCACGGATTAGAATGTCTACATCCATCAACCAAACAAAGCGTGGTTGATATTCTAAAAATAGTACAACCGACATGCGTACTATGTTCTGTTGTTCATGGAGACGTCTTGAAATTCGAAGATTTAAGAAAATTTCTACAAGATCCGACGGTGAGGGAACATTACGCTGTCACTATTGGGTGTCAAGAAGGGGGGAATATCACATTACCTTACCCAATGCGAGCTGACGGACTTAAGTACATCCATGTACACAACTGTTTGATACGCAACACAATGGCGGATTATTTTAATGCTGAGATCAACTTGATTCCAGATACGTTGGTGTATTACGCAATTACAGATTCCGTGTTTTATGTCGACTCCGGTTATTTCGCACACATTATAAAGAACATGCAATATATCACAAAATCAGCGAAATGCGGCCCGGAAAAGGAACTAATGATTGCGGTTAACAGGAACATTTCGTACGCTTTTAACAAGATTGTTCTTCCAGCACTTGAACCGATAAAGCGTGAGGAGAGTCCGAACGCAGCACGTGCTTTCCATCGCGGAATGTCTCGTGCAGCATTCACGTGTAACTATACCAAACTTATCGAACTGGACCGAAGCGTAGACAAAAATCTTGGTTCGAAACACGATAGTGTTCTTTTACAAAACTCAGAATTCCCAGCACTCCTTGTGTTCAATTTATCATATGTGTTGTTAAAAGAGTTACCGGGGAAACTCGATGACTGGAGATTGTATTTCCCACGTATGAAATACCTCGATTTGACACATAATAAAATTAGCGATTTCAAAAGTGTGCTTGATTACGGGATAAAGACGGAGGATCCAAGTATGGGAACACTTGATCTACGCTACAACAACATAACCACCATTACTTTAAAACAACTTCGATCACTACAACATCATAAATATGTAAAAGTTGACATTCGAGACAATCCATTTGTTTGTGACTGTGGAATGCGGGATTTTGTCGAGTTCTTTCGTCATAAAAACAATTTAACCATCGATGGTGCGGTGGGACAATACACCTACCTGCAGGATCTGGAATGCCAGAAACCAGAAGTGGTAAAAGGTCGTAAAATTGTCGGTTTAACTATCCACGAGTTGGGCTGCGATTTGGAAACAACGACTCTACTAGCAGCGCCAATTATCATACTTTGTGTCATCGTCGTTTTTCTCATCGTCTTCATCATCATTATTATAAAATACAGGAAGGAAATTGTCATTCTTGCATTTACCAGGTTACATATTTTGCTCCCTTGCCAACGAGTGGAAGACAACGCAGGGAAGAAATTCGATGCGTTCGTTTCGTATAGTCAGCATGATTCGGATTGGGTATTAAAAACTTTGGTACCGGGATTAGAGCGTCCCCATGGCCTAGATCCGTTCAAACTGTGTCTTCATCAACGAGATTTTGCAGTAGGAACGGCCATTGCAGAAAACATTGTAAACAGTGTTGAAACTAGTCGTCACACCATTCTGGTGATTTCCCGGAAGTTCCTGGAAAGTGAATGGTGTTTGATGGAATTTAGAACAGCTTTTCACCAAAGCTTGCTAGAAAAGAAGAAACACCTAATACTTGTTACAGTCGAGCAATTAGCGCCGGAGGAACTCGACGCTGACCTAAAACGGTGTATGCAGACGTTGACTTATGTCAATATCAATGACAGGTTGTTTTGGGATAAAATTATATTTTCTCTGTCCGATAAAAGGAAAAGGAATCAAAATGTTATTTTTTTCAAGAACATTAAACGGTTTGCCTTTCGAGACCGTAAACAACAACAGATAAATCAACCGCAGCCGGAAATTGACAATAATAATGATGCGAAATGATATGCATGTACAATCTTGTCAGTGTATGGTATTGATTTTGTAATTAAATTAATGTAAATCAAAGGAAATATGTTTATTTCATATTACAAGGAAAAAGGTCAAATGTAAATTTCGACAGTATAATATAATACGTATTTCGTGTGATACTTTTCTTATCAAAGTGGTTTGGGGTCACGGTGGCAGAATGGTTTAAGAATCCGACCATCTACGATAAATAACACTACAGTAACCGGTCACGGGTTGGACCTACGTGGGACAGTCGACAGGTACTAGCCGTCGGTGCTTTTTCTCCGGTCACTTCTATTTTTCTCCACCACCAAAACCTGGCGCGTTCGTAAATGACCAAAGCTAGCGCTGTTATTAGTAAGTAAACACAACCAATCTAAAGAAAACCAATTTAGTCTGTTTGTGTTTTACGTCCTATTAACAGCTATGGTCATTTAATGACGTGCTAGGTTTTGGTGGTGGAGGAAANCCCCCCCCAAACAAAACCGAACAAGATTGTTGTCTATATTACTAGAACGTTGTCTCCTGGTTGACGATCAATTATCGCGAAGTACCAATGCCCGCCGCGGTAAACATACAATCTATCTTCGTCAAACAGGAACGCCTTGTTAAAAAAACTGTGCTTACGGAAACAAATACAGCTGTATAGTTTGATAAGGAAAATGTGACTATTTTATGATTGCTCCCTTGACGCACATGCTGGGGCGAGTACCGGTAATTGATGAGAATTGGTCACCAACCAAAAGTGTAAATATTTTATACTTTTTATAGTAAACATTTGTCTTTTTTGTATGGTGTCACCGTGTACAGCGTCCCTCCACGCTAGTACAGTGAATATTGTATCATTGTTAGTTACATAGACTGTCTCAATTTCGAAACTTCGATTTTACAAACAAAGGGTTGATTACAATATTGTAATAAGATTAAGGACTGATTCATTAGAATTAATTTCATCACTACATTACTGATATTTTTTTTTAACATAAATGATATATATATGTAACGCTTACATTGTGATTGATTACAGAGCTACACTGTATATGGGATACTCGCCGCACCTGAGCACTCGTGATTTAATTAATGAATCCAAAAATACAAAGTTCATTTTTCAATTTTGTATTTACATAATATGTAAAGTTGTCTTTTCCCTTCCTTTTGATCCATATTTCAGAATCATGTTCGGTTATTAAATGGTATAAATGAACACTCAATTATAGCCCCAGGTGTTCTGTCTAAATCTTCTTCTTTTGTCTTCATTAGGCACATATTTTTAAAATATTTAATACAACTACGATAACAGCACTAACGTTGCACATATATAAATTCAGGGGCATCGTAAACGAAGCTTGACACGACAGGCCGAAAATGGAAAGAAATTATGTTTCGCTTCAATGAAACGGCAGTATTTAACGACCACAGTAAAATGTACATATTTGTAACTGAAAAATATCTTCAGTATATCGTACATACGTAGACACAATACCTCTGCACAGTATTATATTTGCTTTTTTCAGTTTTAGCGTAATACTGGTTGCATTAGTCTGTGAAAATCTTCGATATATATATAAAAAAAAAAAAATCACCCTTTTCTTTTTAGTAAATCACTTGTATTTTTTATTTATTTTTTTAAGTAAGAAAAATATATATATTTTTTAGAAAAATACAAATCAAGTAAGCGATACATACCCTATGTGTCTCTTGTTGTACCAGAAAAAGCGGAGACCTCAGATCGAATACTGCCTGCTCCAATTACAGGACATTAGAAGCAGCAGTGCTTACCTCCCTTACCGTGCCATTACCACTGTGGTTTTTGAGGAGAAATGAAAACCATATATGGGGAAAGTGAGAAACAGCATCCCACCATATTGTTTCTTCTATATGCAATATTGTGTGAAAATAATAGAGGATTTTTTAAGTTGATATTATTTATTATATATGATTTCTTTAACATTTTATCGTTCTAAACCAAACAACCACATGAACATTAGTTTGTTTTTAAAATACTGCAGGGAGAACTGTCGTGATATCTGTATTTCAGACTTCCTTCGCAAAGAGGAGTAACTCCTAACTATGTCAAACTCTTATCTGCTCTCTCAAATACATTGGAACTTTGACGCACACTTCAATATAGGAAAAGCTGTTTGTAAAGGCGCAAGCTGCGAAAATGGAAGATAACTGACGCTAAATAGCGCTCCTAATCACGAAACTATGTTGTCTCACGTGTGGCTTCTCTCCTTGTCCACACAAGATCCATACACACTTTATTTTACAGATTGAAGTAAAATAAATAGCTGGCTATTCAAGCGTTTTCTGGACATAACAGAACAGATCTTGTGTGAACACTCCAATCGATACAAACGATACATGAGCAACATACACAATACACAAAGAACAATGCTTGATTCAGTTAGTTAAGGGGGTATGCAAGAACCATGAAAGCAACGGGTATTTACTTAAATTCCATCTCTTAGTAAATGAATAAGCATCTTCCGCACCTTCTCAGGTTGGGTTTTTATTTTCTGGGAACAGAGGGATATTTCAGCATGTCACATGTATGTAAAGCCACAAGCTGTTCCGGAAGAAAAAGAGAGGTACCGAAGGAATAGTGGAAGGAGAGCACGTTATTGAGCTCGAGTAGTGGAGAGTGAGTACGAGTGGAACAAGATACGTATGATAGAGGTGGAGAAAGATATATCGGCAGGCAGACACTTAGAGCCTGTTCGTTTATACGGAACAACCGGGTTGTCCGTTTATAAATGGAACAATTTCGGGTATTAATCCTGGCGGACCTGCAAAAGTTGATGTAGGTCTTGCAACGCTTTGTCAAGGCTCGCCTTAAAGCAGCATCAGATTACTAGGTCCGACCTTATTTAATAAACGAACAACTGTGGTCCGACAGGTTTAATCGTTTTAACGAAAACGGCCATAGATGTACATTATTGTTAGGAATGTTGAGTAACTATTAGCCATTACACCCTAATTAATGTGTAAGCCCTACCAGTTTCTGGGATAAAAGTCACATGATTTGGCGGTCACGTTGTATACTAATAGGGCATGTTATACTTCCGGTGTAAAAGGTAAATCAGCAGTAAACCAATTTTGTCGAAGTAAAGCATTGATAAATTTCGACGAAAATGGCTGAAATTCCACATTTTTCATCAAGAAAAGAAAGGATATCTGCAAACTAGTACCCTGTTCATAGATATGAAGTTTTAAATTGCATACCAGTTTTTTTCACAAGTATAAGATTTTCGGTGTATACCGGAAGTGTACATGGGTATCTAAAACCCGGTCGAATCCGGAGAGAAAAAGTATCTCGGAAACAACGTTGTCATGACTCGAGAGACTTATCACTATGTGTCACCTTTGTGACCTATGACTTGTCACTGCGCGCAACTTCTGACCTATGACCTGTCACTGCCCGTAGCCTCTGACCTGTTACCTATAAATAACAGTGTGTCACTTCTGGTCTGGTCTAGGTACTTGGCATTGTATGCCACCCTTCCTCTGCTGACAAAACACGCCATGACACCTCTGCCCTAGTGACCTAACGTATGGTGCCAATCCTTGCCATAGACGGGGTCGACAGGTATGCGGCCAGTGCACAAAGGAATAGCTATGGATTATACGACCTTGCTCTGTAAAATTACACTTGGTCCAGGGCGTGCTCTGGAAGCTAGATATGAATATCATTTGACTAACTTGCTTGATGTTTTATTTAGATTGCATCAAGGTTTTTTAATATAACGTAGTCAAATCCGATTTTGTTCTCAAGATTACTGTTAACCGACATTTTAAATTTCCTTCTAGCGCCTGTAACGAAATATGTTGAATTAGTAATGATTTGAGAAACTGATTTTACTTTGCTAAAATAATGTTTGAGATTGGCTTAATTTAGTTTTTACTAAGATCAGTATTCAAAATATTTCCGCTGCTTTCTTTTACCATGCTATTGTCTAGCAAAACTGAATGTACCAGCAATTCAGTTTTATATCTTAAGTGATTCATGGCTCAAAGGATCGCTAAGCTGTAAGGCAAATCAAAGACATGAACATTTCACGTCAATCTGATCGTTTAGACCAATTTAAAAAAAATAATATGATAATTGAAATCTGAACTTGTAAAGAAACCGGATTTTTTTTTTTTTTTTTAAAAACCGAAAGAATCATTTTCTAAACTCTATAGATAAAATGATCAACAATGTCATAATTCATCTTATATGATCGAATAGACTAGACTTTTAAGGACACACAGTAGCCGTAGGGCGTTGCTTATCTTGTTAGCCATGGACAACTCAGACAAGTAGATAGTGCATATGATAAGGAATTACCGACCGCTCTTCCTGACAATAATCATTTGTCCTGACAGCGATCCAGCGAGTCAACCGGGAAATTATCAAGACAATATTTTGAAACAAATATTTTGTAACAAATAAGGACAGCTGCCATGTCCAGGAGAACTAACACTATCGATCAACGAGCAACAGTTTTACCGAGATGACCATCACCGCGCGAAACGTTACAACGAAACACACTGAAAGACACGTAAAAACAGAACAGGGTAACACAAACACAGATCGCTGGACGCAAAAATGCGCAGATATTCGCACAAAGCTTAGATTAAATATCTGGATTAACATCCTATTGGCTCAATAATCGCCATGCTGTAAGGAAAATCAAAGGACATGGACATGTCATATCAACTTGATCGTCTAGACCAAAATTTCAAAAAATGATAATTTAAATCTGAACTTGTAAAAAAACAGAAAAATCCTTTTTATCAACCCGAAAGAATCATTTTCTAAACCCTATTGATAAAATCGATGTCATAATTCATTTTATATGATCGATTAGACGAGACTTTTAAGGACACACAGTAGCAATAGGGCGTTCCTTATCTTGTTAGCCATGGAAAACTCAGACAAGTAGATAGTGTATATGATAACCAATTGCTGACCGCTCTTCCTGACAATAATCATTCGTCCTGACAGCGATCCAGCGAGTCAACCGGGAAATTATCAAGACAATATTTTGAAACAAATATTTTGTAACA